CTAGAGAGAAAGAAATAGCAATTCTCTCTCTCTCTCTCTCTCTCTCTCTCTCTCTCTCTCACATACACGCACACTTTTTTCAGGTGTTCTATAGATTAATGACAAGGGATGGAGAATTTTATGAATTCTCTGGCTTTTGGTTCTTTAAATTTCCATGCAGAGAGAGAATCAAACGAAATTTAATTATAGTGAGAGAAAGCAATAGAGCAATAAATACCTGGAGAATAGGGTTCCACAATCACAACGATATTCTCTGGTTCCACAAGTCTTAGAGTGAGCTTTCCAATCGGATTGGACTGCGTACTTCTTTGAACATTTCTCACACTTCCATTTCTTTTCTCCATGCTTTCTACAAAAATGTTTCTTTATACCTGTGAGATCGCCCAGAGCTCTTGAGGGATCATGGTGCACACAAGTGAGTTCTGGGCAAACATACACTCTCTTCCTAATCTCTTTGCTGCTTCTCTGTCTAAGCTTCCATGGAAGATTGTGCCCCCTTCTATGGAGCTGCAGGTTCTGATCCCTTTGAAACCCTTTGTTGCAGATCTCACATACAAACCTATTTGTAGCCATTAGAGTCTTTGGAGATAGAGCAATTACTTCTGCGTCAGGATCTGCAACAAAAATCAGAGACAGAAAGGAGTGAATCCTTGAAAACCATCAAGAGAGAGAATGAAGGAAAACGTGGGCTGTGGGGTGTTTTCTAGAGAGAGATTATCATTTATCAGAGTAGGAATAGAGAAATTGATAAGATATGATACTAACCTGGATTTCCTGGTAGGTTTCTCTTTCTCTTCACTGTTTGTTGTTGTGGCAGAGGTGAGATAGTGGGGAACATGGGGCTTAGGGTACTGAAATCTTGAGACATGATGAAATTCTCAGGTCTATTACCAGAAGAAACACTTGCATCCTCTGAAATAGAAGTTAAATTCGACATGGCCGATAACCCAAGAGAGAAAAATAGGATTTATAGAGAGAGAGACTCTATAGCCTGTGCTGGGTCATGGGTTATATAATTTGAGGAAGAAGAAACTGCACCTTTGACTGAAAAGAAAACCCTAAACTGTGAAGACCTGGTTCAGTGGGTCTATAACCACTTCATTTTCTTATATCCCTCTCCTCTCTCTCTCTTCCTTTATTTTTTTCTCTTTCTAACAGGGACTTCTGAAATAATCAGAGAAATTACAGTAGAATCGGATCTCGTGAACAAAGTGATGATGAATGATTCCCAGAGTCGCTATCCACTGCTGGATTTTGCTTGTCTGAGCACCTCTGCGACCAAAACTGAGGTCCAATTTCTTCACAAGACTATAATTAAAGAAAAGAAGAAGAAGAAAATAAAGGGAAAGAAGAAAGAGAGCTCCCCATCTTTCGAAGCCTTCATATTCCATCAAAACCAGTCATGAGAGAGAGAGAGAGAGAGAGAAAAACAGCTATGAAATTGGTGATAGCGATGAAAGAGAGGAAACCTATGAAATTGGAGATAACGATGAGAGAGAAAGTAACAAACTTGGTTTTATGTGCTGTAACCGTAAAAGCCCATAGCTGGAAGCTTGTCAAACCTGCCTTATTTTGCTTGGAATTCTAGAGAGAGAGAGAGAGAGAGAGAGAGGAAGGTTAAGCTCTGGTCCAGGGCTTATGTGAAGGTTGTGTAATGATTGCGAGAGAGGACTCATAGCCATAAGACGGCAAATATGACATGAAAAAGAGAGGAGAGAGAAAATTTTAAAGGAAAAAAAATAGGACCCAGAAAAAGGAGAGAAGAATTCTGCAAAGCAAAGTGTGGATGAGGTCGACCCAAGACCAGGAATCATCCCGATTCATCCCATAATTTTCATTTTTCACTTTTCCCTTTTAATTTTTTTTCCGTTTAAAAAAATTTCAATTGTTCCATGATTTTTGACGTAACACTTTCTGTCTTTTCCTCTGTCTCAATTAAAAAAAGAAGAGAGAGACCAAAAGCACCTTGATTTGAATGGAATGATTAGTGGGTGGGTTTACTGTGGGTTAGAAGCTTAAAAGCTTAGTAAAGGCGAAGGCACAGGGGCTTCACTTTATGGGGCTCAAAGTATGATTGATTCATTGATTGATTTCAGAGTTTCTGATACAAACACCTTGCATTTTCTTGATTTTATCATCCCCAAAAGGCTAATGTCTATGTACTTATTTCCCATCACTCTAAAAACTTTCTCCTCCCTCTTTCTCCTGCTCACTCCCTCTTATGTGATTCCCATGCAAACCTCTTAACCCCACCATGCGAATTTGGAGGCCTCACAACTTTATCTTTTTAACCTTTTTCTTATTCGCAAGCAAAGCTCCCATACATGCATAGAGAGAGAAACAGAGAAGAGAGAGAGTAGGAGGGGGCAATTGTCGGTGTCAGTGTTTATCTTGTTATTTATCCCAAAAAAAAATATTTGTTTTTCAGGCCAAATTGCCAATGTCTAGAGAGAGAGAGGGATGGTGTTGTTTTTAATGTTTTATGTTTTCAAATTGGATTGCCCATGATTTGCAGGGCTGCCATGTTTGATATGGTATAGAAATGTGAATTTAAAAGGATTTAGGGCCTGGATTGGGGTCTGCAATCGTTATTTGTTTATGCTTCTTTCTCTTTCTATCTCTATATTGTATGTTGATGACCACGGGGATTTAGGGGGAAGAAAAATTATAGTACTGTGGGTGGACATTAATAAATGTGCTCTTCCACACTAACAATTATGCTTAAATTAAATTTTAAGTAATAGGCTCCAGGTTTCATGTATGGGTGCAAGTTAAATTAGATTTGATCCATGTCTCATGGCGACATATGCATCATAATTCCTTGACCTTATCGGATCTAATATTTGACACATTATTCTCTCTCTCTCTCTCTATCTCTCGCCCTCCCTCTCTCTTCTTCTTTTTATTATGTTTACCCTTCAAATTTTTTATTAATTTAAATATCTATATTTAACCTCTTACCATGCCTATTAGAAGCTTGTGCAAGAAAAAATTGTAGATGTCACTATTCCTAATATCCATTTTTGAGCTCCTGCCATGGCAGCTTGATGAGTTGTGTTGGTAAAAATTGGAGAAGCCTGGTTTGAAGTTGCATTTCTGCACATGGATGTGTTGGCTTGCGTTGTAGAGAGAGAGAGAGAGAGAGCATTATGGAATCAACATGGTCCCAGTACATGGTAGGATTTGATGCATGTCACGTAGGAAAAAAAAGAAAAAATAAAGAAAAGAAAAAAGAAGTAAGGTAGTTTTCAAGACCGGATCGGATCGGCCATATCGCACCACCTAGTCTCTAACTGCTGCAACAGTTGTCGACTGTGCCCGGGCTTATATGTTCCAAAGTAAAATTAAGGTTATTCATAAATTACAAAATTAAATGTTAACGGGCCTATTTGATTAGTTTTGACTTGCTAGAAGTATGTTAAGGTTTTTAATAATATTTTTCTTATTTTTAAATTATTATTGATTGTCTTTATACATTTAAGTTCTAGTCTAACTAGGTTGACAAGCATTTCTACAATCAGAAGTGATTGGAGTAGCAAACTAATTTTATCTTAACCAAACTTCTGCGTATTGCTGAAAAAAGTGTGATCAGCACCAAATATACATAAAAAAATACATCTTCCATACATTAAAGGTATATTTGGGTTTCGTGGTTGTGTATTTGTCGTGTATTTACATGTCAAGTAAGCTAGCTTACTACTTTGAATCTTATAATCATTAACAAACTAAAAAAAACATATTAGATGAAATTTTTATAAAGCCTGAGCTTTAGGGAAACAAAATAAAGCTTCAGCTGAAATCTTCACCCAAAAAACCCTTTCAACAATGGAAATTTTTATGATGGCTCTATAATTAATTTTCAAGATTGGCAATAAATTTTTAAATTAAAAAATGTACAAATCTTACGGATCTATGAACACTTATTTTTTAGTACGCAATAGACGGTCTAGATAATTTGTTATAATATATGTTATTTTTATAGCTTAAAATCCTGATTTTTTTTCGCAACCATAATGTTCAAGTCGAGACGAACTATGTAGAAGTTTTCCAACACTTGAATTACAATTTCCAATGAATTATGAGGTGACACTTTATTGATTTTAATAGAGCTACAGCTCTATCAAACTATTTTTCTAATATAAAATACCCACATGTATGCATTCATAATCAGATCCGTTACACGTGATCATGCTCATAGATATTTTTACATTGGTGTGCTTTTACTTTTTGTTATTGTGCCTTATTTTTGGGCTTTTTTTTATATTAAAATTGAGACTCGTCATTAATTTTAGGAGGGGAAAATAGAGCTTAGGGTTAAAAAGCCGACCAAATGGGGACCCTCCAATCCTCGAATCCGTGACAGTTGTGGCTCGAGTGGTCAAGCAAATACTTTGTTGTCAACCTTTGTCCCTCTCTTAGTCTCTCTCTCTTTCAAACTTTATCTGCCCTCTTAAGCGCACTTTATCATTCTCAATTTCTCTCTCTTAATCTCACTTTACCACTCTCTCAATATCTTTTTTTTTTTTGAAACATCAATCTCTCTCTAAGTTTGTACAGGTTTACTGATGCCTCTCTCAGTCTCGAAGGTTTGTACAGGCTTAATGTATGCCTCTCACCCACTTTCCCCCTAACTTCGTAGAGGTTCAATAAACTCTCTCTCTCTCTATATATCGAGTTTCATTGGTGCCTCTCTCTCTCTCTAGTTTCATTGGTGCCTCTCTCTAAATCTCTCTCAGCCCATTGACCCTTCCTAGCTTATCTAGTTTTTTACTTTGTGCCGTTACCATTTACTTTGAAAGCTCTCTAAAAAGCTGCAATTTCTTAGGAAACAATGCATGCATACACAACCTTTTCAAAAGCTGCCCTGTCCGAAAATCAAGGTCACCAAATACCTCGGGTTCACCACACATTACTTGGGACTTCTTTTACTCATTTATACTTACAATGCTTAGCTGTGATCGGTTCAGTTCCAATATATTAACAAATTATTTTAGAAACCTTATCTAACTATGGAATATGTTCACAATTAGAACTTATATTATTGGTATTTGGGCTATGATTTAGTGGTGTGACATCCAAACTGCATGATGGAGGTTGAGGGTTGAAAGTTTGTCCCTTGTCCTCCCTTGCTCACCCACCAAAAAGAATATAAATTCAAATATTATTTATGGAATAATTCGTAAAGGAAAAATATCCAAGGAGACCATTTATCTTTGGTACGACACAATTAATCTTGACCATTAGATATAATATTAGATAGCTATATTTATTTTATTGATCAAGCTGAAATTTTAAAAGATATTTTGCTCGAATTTTGTGACATACCCGAGCTATTAGATTTTACAACATATTGGTTGTAAATAATTGTGATATCCTTGTATTACAAGTAAATTGTCTCATTATATACCATCATAAATTCATGGTTTGGGATATTTCTCAAACTAATCTCATATTTGTTGGATTAATTACTTTGGGCATGGTCTTTGTCATCAGCATATGCCATGCGTGTAGAGAAAGAGAGGTCTTTCTTTGTAACATGGCAATGGAAATCTTGAGAGAGAGAGAGAGAGAGAGAGAGGTCTTTCTTTGTAACATAGCATTGGAAATCTTCATTCAAGCCCTTATAAAAATGAAAGGTGGAAAAGAGAATCGACACAATTAAGTCACCTTTCAATTAAATGTTTATTTAAGATGTTCAATCAAAAGATTAGGTAGACTTACTGGTTTTGGTTTTATTTTTGTTTCCTCTTGAAAGCGGTATTTAGAAAATTAGAATTGGAGTGGGGTCCGGTCTTGATTCTACTCCCGATTCGAATCAGACATTTCCTGGGTACACTGCGTTGCACTTTACAAAGACATTTAAATATTGTTAGAAAATTTTTAAAAAGCTAATTCCATAGGTTTTCAATGAGGAATCACCCACTTCGCCATCCATATCAGACTCAAGCTATTATGAGTAGCGTTCAAAAAATTGACCTCGTCTCGGAAACCAGCCAATTCAACTGGACAGGTCCCGGTCCAAAAAGTGTTTAAAAAATAAAAAATAAAAATTATAAAAAATATTTTTAAAATATTTTAAAACAAATCACATCCAAATAAAATTGAAAATAAGCAAAAAAATAAAAAAAAAAAAAGATTTTTAGAAATAAATTTGTGCCCAGGGGTAGTTTTGAAATATTTAAAAATAGAAAAAAAATGTAAGAATTAACATTCATGACCAAAACACTTTGTCAAAATGATTAAAAACATTAAAAAACACATTACAAATGAATCTCTTATTTTTTAGTATTTTATATAAATATTTTTGAATTTTTTTTAAAATACCAGGCACGACGATCAAAACCAGATCGGCCAGTTCCTATCTCGCCGGCCGGTTGGTTCTGAGGACCGGCCAAGCTTGCAAAGACTCAGTTTTCAAACACTCCTCGAAAAAAAGGAAAGAGTGGAGATTCATAACTTACTGAAACAATGAAAATAAGAGAAAGAAACGTTTTAAAGAAGCATGAAAATGTACCAAGTACCGACCTCCCAAATGTTAGAGGAGTGACAGACAAGTGAAATATAATATTTTAGGGGAAACAGTCTTTGCAAGGATTGGATGAAAAGCGGCGAGGAAGAATCATAGCTTTGTGACTACGTCCTGTTTTGCAAGAAATGGGAAAGCACCAAATAAAGTAATGACCACTAAATTGGTCATTAATGGGTCAAGGGTGTTCATTTGGTCCACCCTACCATGAACCGATATATATTTTAGGGTGGTTCTTGAGTCAAGGGG